TATTTTACAGTACTTTCGAGACCACACCTTTAAAGAAATCAACAGTTTTCAATAACAGGCCTAGGAGCACACTTGGAGCTCTCTTTTGAAGTAAGTAATAGTTTTGTATTTATTTTCAAAGAAATAATAGTTAGAGCATCAAAGTGTTTTAAAAAATTTTGTAAGCAAAAATTTTAATTTAATTTATTGATTAGGCACATTCTAAAAGGTTTTAAATTCTGATATCAAAATGATGTATGTTTTTTTTTGTCCATCATCACTGTTTGGGGCAGTAACACTGGTTCGATTTTCTTCAACAGTAACTATCTTGTTTTATAAGAAAGTAAATCTAGTCGGTGCTTCTGGGAGGTCAAATTTTGAAATCCTCAATATTTTTCAAAAGCGCAGGGAAAATCCGACAAAATCGATTTTGGTTTTGTTGTAGCTCTAAAACAAAATACCATAGATATAAGAAGTTTTCACTGTTTGTTTATTTTACCTTTTTCAATACGCACGATAAAATTTCCAAAACATTTTTATTTGTGTTGAACTATTTTAGGGCATTTTCAGTTTCAAATTTTTTTAGTTTTTATTTCTATGAATATTAATAAAATTTTATTTGTTGGGTAAAAAACTTTAAAAATGTAATACAAGACGCCTAATATATTGTTGCAATGATATTTGAAAAATATTAAAAACACATTGTTAGAATTTTTTTTATAAGCATTTAAAGTTCGAATTTTGACAAAATACCTAAAAGTCTATAGAAAATGTGTAATTTATAAATTCATAACATTTTAGATTCTGAGTGAAACGATGAATGTATTGATTTTACAATGATGTGTGTTTTTTTTTTTATTTTTTTTTTATTTTATTTTTATTTATTTTTTATTTTATTTTTTATTTTTTTGTGTCTGTGTACACGATAAGTAGTCGAAATAATGCTTCGATTTTCGACTTCAGTATCTTGTTCGATTGGAAAGTGAATATCGTTGGTGCATTGGGGAGGTCAAAATTTAAATTTCCCAGTAGTTTTCAAGAGCGCCGGGAAAAACAAAAGAAAAATTAAGGAAAAACGGGAATTTTTACGCAAAATCGATTTTTCAGAAAATTGAATTTGGTTTTTGGTGTAACTTTAAAACAAATGACCGTAGGCACATGCAATTTTCACTGGTTGTTTATATTTGCATCTTCTATACACGATAACATTTTCAAAATATTTTGATTTATTTTGAACAGTTTAGGGACATTTTCATTTTTAGTTTTTTTTTAGTTTTTTTTCTAGAAATATCAATAAAATTTTATTTGTTGGTTGCGAAAGCTTGAAAATTTAATAGAAGGCTCCTAATATATTGTTTCAAAGGCAGATGAAAAATATTAAAAATCCTTAGTCACAATTTTTTTTATAAGCATTTAAAGTTCAAAAATTGACAAAATATGGAAAAATCACGAAAATTAGCAAATTATTTTGAGTTAAGAATTCGTAAAAATTTTTCTTTTTAAATCTAAGATTTGAAAATCTAATACAAGATTACTCATAAGATTGTCTACCTTTATCAATAAAAAAATCTCTACAGGAAAGTCAAATTAAATTTTTATGAGCGTTTGAAATTCAAATTTTTACAACATTGGATATTCACTCGATTTCTCATGTGGCAATTTCCTTTTTTTGTTGTAATTAAAAAACGAATTACTGTAGATACATGAAAATTTCACTGAATGTTTATATTAGCATTTCCTATACACCATACAATTTTGAAAATATTTTGACTCTTTTTGAGCCGTTTACGGACATTTTCAGTTTTCAATTTTTTTAGTTTTTTTTTTCTATAAATATCAATTAAGTTTTATCTGTTGGGCCAAAAAGTGTAAAAATTTAATACAAGGCTCCTGATATATTGTTACAATATTAGTTGAAAAATATTAAAAATACATAGGCACAATTTTTTTTTATAAGCATTTTAACATCGAATTTTGACAGAATTTTTCAAAATCTCGAAAATTATTAATCATCGTAATTAATAAATTATAAAATGTTCAGTTTTTATAGCTTAGGATTGAAAATTTAAAACAAGATTCCACGTAAGTAGTTAATTCTCTTACCGAAAAATCTAAAAAATATACAATCACAGTTTATTTTTATAGTCATTTTATTTTCAAATTTGGACGAAATTACATATTAAAAAACCTAGTTATTTTGTTGTGATTATATAATATTATTCGTGGGTACCTACTTGAAACTTCTAAAGTTTACTATTATATATATATGATAGTATCAGGGTTTGTTGTTAGTGTATAACGTGTTATAAGTACCTAATGGATATTGTGATAATGTGATATGATTAATTTGGAATTTATTATAGGTCAATTTTTTTTTAATACCATAGATATGTATATAATTTGTCTTAACCTAGACTGACATACCGTCTTCGCTCAGAATCGTTTTTCTTATACAATGATATTGTATCATTGAATTCAAATTTAATAGCATCAATTATACAGTGACCCACTTGTAACCTACTGTACAGCAGAGCGACATCCACTTACCCACCTTTTTTTTTTAATATAAGATTTGAAAATTTAATTCAAAATTTCTCATAAGTTTGTTTACTTTTATGAAAACGAAAATGTCTACCTGAAAGATAAATTAAATTATTTCGAACGTTTGAATTTTTTCCCGATTTCTTAAGTAGCGATTTCCTTCAAAAACGAATAACTGTAGACACTTGAAATTTATGTAATATGTTTATTTTATCAATTCTTATACTTGAAAATATTTTGAATGTATTTTTTATAGTTTTTGACGATATTATTTTTTAATTAAACTTAAACTAATTTATTTTTTACTTTTTTGAATGACAATATATAATTTTAATTTTATATTCTAAAACCTAATACTTTTTGTAGTACTTCGATACATATAAAAATAAATTCAAACGAGTAGATAGTTGATTGTTTAAAATTATTCAAACTTTAGATTAAGTACCTAGTAGTGGACCAATATTTTTAGTGGTAAATTTTTGCTATTCTATTCCACTCGTCTTAGCTTTAAATATTTATAAGTATTTTGCAGCAATGACAACAAATTATTATGTAAATAAAATATTTTCTAAAAAAGTAAACTTTTGGAAATAATTGAAAAATGAGTGTAGAGTGTAGACACTTAAATGGATAATTTTGTAATTTATATACTGAAGTAGATATATAAAACTTATTACTTTATTGCGGTAGCCGTAAGTACAACCATTTGGTTTAAATAACCACTTTTAGTTCCACCAATAATTGGCCTTATTGCTTAGACAATATCCAAATGTCAAATATTTATCTTGGTAAATTCCAGGATATATAAAATGTACGTCTTATATTTGGGTATTATAATTGTTTGTAAATCTTATAGGATTAATCAGAGTTTTTACTTTTTTATGTCGTTTATTTTTAATACATAAAAATGTTTGGGTATACAATTTATTAATGACAATAAATAACCTTCTTTTGACACTTAAATATATTTAAGTTATTCAAATCTTCTAAACGACCTATGTATTGTGTAACCTAAACCTTTTTTTTTTCCGAGTTAATCGAGGGACGGAGGAGGAACCGCGTTAGCATTACTTCTCCTCAGGCCATCGCCTAAACCTAACCTATAAGTTATTATAGGAAATATAATTTACTATATAATAGCATATATATATTAGTAATATGTATTTGTCATGGAAATTTATGATATTCATGTACCTATCCTTATTTTTTTTTTAAATATTTGAGTCACTATTTTTATCTGTAAGTTTATGAAATTAATTGTTTTGGTTTAATTTTTCTAAAAATAGTTTAATCTATTTTACATAGTTATTAATTAGGTGCATAAAGAATAGAGAAAAGTTAATTTAGTTAATATATTTGAATAATTGTTTGATATCTTACTTTATTATTCGAATAATGATAGTTGTTAGAATAAAACATGATATTATATTAACGGTTTATTCATTATTGTTATGATTCATATATATTATAATATATGATTAATGTTTGTTAGAGATTTTCCTGTATTTCTGTCTTCTGATGCTTATAGATTTAACTAGTTTATATATACACTATACTTTTACATTAATATTTTAATGATTTTTGACATAATAGGTACATTTAATTTGTTTTAACATTTTGCATAGGTAATTACATATTATATCAATATTGTGTTATATTTTTTAAATTTATGTTATGTATGTACATTATAAATATTAACATAAATTAAACACATACTACGGGATTTCATATAATACCTGCACTTTAAATAATATTAATAATTACTAATACAGTAATACAAACTAATATATTCTGTTTTTTATGCAAATAATAAGTACGATTTTTTATTTTATGTAGAAGAGATTATATTTACTCTGGTTGTATTCTGTTACCCGTCGATAGCAGTTATTATATTACATTGTATACATTGTATAGTGTATAGGTTACATAAACATGTTTGACGAGTATTTATTTTTTTTTCTAAATCAGAAGTAATATAGAGCATTCTATTCTGAATTAAAAACATCTATAATACCAAACTTACATGCATGCGATATTGAATCCCTCGTGTAGTCGTGTGGGGTATCGGTCAAACAGGATATGTATGTGAATATTAGCTACGAAGGGTCAAAGGTGTGAAAAACGGAAATCGAACCAGTACTGAATATTCCGGTTCGGGATCGTCGGTAATGGTTATTGCCGATGACATATTCTCCCTAAAATCGTTCGACGTCATTGTTATGAGGGATATTCGGCTGGGAATCGAATCCAGTATTTCAGGTTATATTAGCACGCTATCGGAATGTAGTTTAAATATCGAGTACATATTATATAGAAGACGGCGATGAACTGATTTATTATAATCTTGCAATAATAATAGTAATAATTTTGAGTTTAAACATACCCCGGTTTTCCTACCAATGCGAGTTAAGCAAAGAACACATTAATTCAAAACAATTTTTAGACATTATACAATTTCCAATTTTCCAAATGGTTTTTATTTATTCGTCAGCCAACCTAAGTCTCGCAAAGTCTTCAAACACAATATTGTCCTCGTCGTCGTCCCCAAAGCTTTTTTGGTACTTCATTCTGTCCGAGCTCTTGGTCTTCTTCAATACTCCTTTTTGTGGTTGCTTGGGCGGCGCAGTCCAGTCTTCGGATGCTGAAGTTGAAAATTATTTTTATTTTAATAAACTCATATGAAACAAACGTATGACATTTTTTTACTTGGATTCGGGTGCATAAGTTTGAATGGTACGTCAGTCACGAGTTCACCACCCAGAGTACCACAGTTCAACTTTACTCTGACCGAATATGAAATGACGATACCAGTTTGGTCACTAGGACCCTTACCTCCCGATATCAGTGTAGACGATGCCAAATTTACGTCGTCGTCCTATAGTGTATATTACATGCATTTAATTCAATGTACGTTAAGGTGGCGAAAATGTTAGATACCTTAAGATGTCCGTCTAATGCAATGCCTCTCCTGTCTTTATTGCTGGACGCCAGTGGGACTAGATAGAATTGTTTAGTAAACGCGGCTCCCGGTGTTATGGGACAACCTTCTCGGGTCTCCAAACTGGCGACAAATTTAGAAAACTGCGCATTGACCATTGTAATTTCGGTGTGCTGAACAACATACACCTATAGGTACAATTATATAGTTATGTACTGTATTATTATAGTTGGATACTGATAGTAAATTATTGACTAACTATTGTAACCATTTTGAGATATATGCGTCATACCTTAATGTTTTTTACGGATTTTCTCGAGCTGTTACTTATGATTAGCGTGGCAATAACTTTTTCCCCATGATAGTAAATTTCTCTGTCCAGTGTGACTTCCAAACTAATTTTTCCGTGAGAAAACGTGAATCCTTTGCTAATTAGTGAACTTGGTAGTCTTTGACCTCTTGTTGATGGGGCGTATTGTAACTGAGTATTTACACATTTATATGTTAAATTGACTACTTTTGAAAAATACATACCTTTTTAATAGCTAGGACGACGGACGATCTTTGATTTCCTTTATCATCTTCTCTGTCTGACACATAAGTTCGGATACTGTATTCAACTCCGAGAGGTTTTCCACTGTCGTCGTCACCCGGCTGCAGGGTCACCGAAGATGGGGAGTTTGGAGGGAAATTGAACACAAATGGAAATGCATTAGAGTTACCAAATTTTTTCACTAATTTTTTTTGAATAGGACTTAATTCTGTGACATCTTTTATTGGTGGGACGATTTGATTACACGCCAACACCATTTCTTTACTGAATTTTACACCCATTACTTCATCTTCATCTCGACCGTACCTATAAGTCGTGGAAACCTGAAAAAGCATTACGTAGATTACAAAAATACTTGTGAAATAAGCCTTACCATTCCAAAAACTTTTCGTCCTTGTAAATAGTCATTTTCGACTACGACAACTCCGTCAATAGGATCTACACTGTCTAAGTGGTCAATGAAATCTCGTTTACCGATGTATATAGTGACTTTTCCTAAAAATAACAATCAAGTATTCGAATAAAATATTCATTCACTAGGTACATTTTGTTAAAATTGAATTACCATTTGGCGTAGTTTTTTTAAAAACTTTTAGCGTTGCTATAAAATAAAGAAATAATAAAGGTATCATAATTTATGATGAACAAAATACAAAACACTTGAATCGAGGGTCTGGTTGAATGTGACCCGTCTAATGTCAGACTAAACAGTTGATCGATGTTACTCAAGCTCCCGCGTAGGGTTTCTTTTTTACAATTATATCGTCATAAGATAATTGGATTAAATGAAGACCCGGAAGTTCTTTGATATTTTGTCACTGCAAAAAAATGTCTTCGTTAAAATTTCAAGCACGTAAAGTTTTTCTAAAAACCATCGATTTCTTATCCTATTCAAGAAGCCTTTTTAAACTACTTTACATAAAACTGTTGACCTGATTTGTATAAATATTTTCATAATTTCTAAAATATTGGTTATATTATAATTTATATACGTCACATAGTTTTTTTAAACTAAAAATAAGATTAATTTCAGCATTTGATTTATTTTATTAAAACAAATCAATATTTTGAATACAAAATTATTCAAATATTTTTTCAGAATTTTAATACCTGTTTAAGAAAATATTTATGTAAAATACTGTAATAATTGATTTTATAATTTTAAAAATTAATTCAGTTATAGTTAGTAATAACTAATAACTAACAAACTATTCCAAACGAAAACATTTACTTAAAACTAAGTTTACGAAGCCATAAATCAGTTGTTATGAATTAATCAGGTAGGTATTTAACAAACTAAACTAAGGTCTAAGATAGTGAGCAAATTATGTTCAAACAGTATGTAAAAATAATCTAGTACCTAATAAAAAGTGTTAACATCCCAAAAGGGTACAGTCTGTCGTACAGATGAAACTACATATTATTATTTGACTTAGCTCTCTTCGGTACAAGCTTTCTTTTTTATTTTAATTATTATACATATTTTGAATGCATATGATAATTATTTCATCATTCAATTATTTATAAATTCTATGACGAACAGCACTCGATAGCTCGCCTGAAATTGACCTTATTTTTACTCTAAAAAAAGTATCAGTTAAAATATAAATTGCCCCCTCTTAGAATATTAAATATTTTTGATTGATAGGGTCACACGAATATTTCTGAGCCCACCTTCAATTAAAAAAATGTCACATGGAAGAATATATTGAAAAAACCATAACGTGATATTCGATATTTTTTCTTAAAAGAAAATCTATGAATCATTTATATGTTTTTGTTAAGAAGTAATCATTACAACAAAATCAGTTAGAAAAATTAAATATTTGTATACATTGGCCAAAATCATGTGTTAAAAATGACATCGTAAAACTATTGATGTTTCTATCCAAATATGATTTTTGTCTTAATTAAAACTACCTATATGTAAATGTTTGATATACTCATACTATTATAATTTTCTTTCAGCCATGTTACGTATTGCGTGTTCAATGTTCGTGTGTAGTTAACTCGGTAACCATATATCATAATCAATATCCATCATTATATTACCTACTTATTTACATTAATTCTACCGGGAAATCCTCATCAGATATTTAAAAGGGAATGGTGTCTATGTGTTGTGACCTTTTGCAAAAATAATTGCCTGGTGTGCCAAAGTACCTACCAAGTGTCGCCATTGCGTGGCTTCTCTCACAACACGAGTACATGAATTGCATTATTTGTACGTTTATAATAAATTCGCATTTCGCTTGTAACTTTTGTGTATGAAATATAAATATATAAATTGTATGTATACAGTATACATCTTAAAAAAAATATTTGATTCGTAAAAAAGTTCTCATACAACTTTAGAATATGATAAAAATATGATCGAGCGTTTAAAGTTATAATTATAATTTATAATAATATAGTAGTTTATGTATATATTATTAGATATCGTGTGTATGTGGGATTCAATTACCTATATTGTAATTAAATAAATCTAGTCTTTAGAATGACTTATTTTATTTTTAATTTTGAATATTAAATTATTTAAAACATTGATCACTTCCTATTAGGAAGTTCTTAAGTACCTATATCAATGTATTGAGTGTAATTTTCAATATAATTTTGTATTAAAATGTGTTATTGTCATATATTACTTAAGAACGTACTGCTCCTTATCTAAGGTGTGTTTATGGTAACTGATAGTTATAAATAATGATATAGCTATCATATATTATGTTCTACAACATAACATATTATAATGAAAAATTATGGGTAGACAATCACGACCATGCTATAATATAACTTTTATTGCATAACATTATTGTATGACGAAATAACCATAATATTGTATTTAAATTATTAATTAACTATGTAGGTAATCTACAATGTATGGCATATGTATGACATATGTATGTATGTGTTCCTATATAATACATAGTATATTATTACCAGGTTGAATGAACAATCACTAAACATTTATTGAATCAATAGTGGGTAAACATGATTTTACGATCGATGATTGGTCCATTAAATTGCATTGGTCTATTGAACCATTCAATTAGTACATTTTTCATGTAACTCGGTATAAGACTGCAAGAGTAAGACTCATATTAATATATTATATAGAGACTTATGAGCTGCAGTGCCTATACTGGTCACTTAATTTCACTTTTATCAAATTCTTGACTTTATTCAACCATTGACTTATATTTTATAGACACATATTACATTTTAAAATACTAAATAGTGTAGACATAAATTAATATTTAAAAAACAAAGAATCGATTTAATATTATACATATTATGATGTGATATTTTTATATTAATTGTTTTATCATCACAATTTTGGCAAATGTAATGACGTTTAAGCCAGTTAGGTTTTTAGCCTACTAATATCTATTCAGTTCGATATGCTTTATAAATAACTGTGACTGTGCGATGACATAGGTAATTGTATTATATTATTTTTCTTATTGACTAATATGACTATTGAGTTTTAATATATATAATATTATATATTAATATTACAATAATTTTAAACATTAGACTATTTACTGTTAGAGCTGTATTAGAGTATTACACACATCATATTCTCATTGTTGTAATTAGTGAGTTAAGTAGGTATCGCATTTAATTATGTGGTATTTTAAAGTATTTATTACACAATTTAATTGAAACTGTACTGAATACTGAATATTAAAGTTTATTATTTAGCTGCACGCGAGTAAAACAATGCAAATCACGGAGTTTTAATAATATGATTTGCAGAAATTATATAGCATTTCATTTTAATCTATTGTTATTAAGGAAATATTTTAATGATTTTAGATTCAAAATTCCGATGACCACTTTTAAAACTGAAAATCGTCACGGCTATTCGGTTAAATTTTCACCGAATCGATCAAACCTCTTAGCCATAGCCACGTCACAATATTATGGGTTTAAAGGTGGCGGAACGTTGTTTTTGGTAAAATATGACGAAGACAGATGTCTAATAACCAAAAAGTATGAAATGCATTGGGAAGACGGACTGTTTGACGTGGTGTGGAGCAGATCTGTGTACAGTTTGTTGGTGACCGCCAGCGGAGACGGAACCGTGCAGATGTGGAATTATAAATATCCATCACAAGTAATAAATAATTTATAATTGTATTATAAACGTAATGTAGAATCGATGATAATATAATTTTAAGTATAACGCTTATATCATATCGGTTGTCCGGCAGAAACCTGTAAGAACGTTTAACGAACACAAGAAAGAAGTTTGCAGCGTAGATTGGTGTCAAAACTCCGTAGACGATTTTTTGTTGTCTGCGTCGTGGGACTGTTCGGTAAAACTTGTACGTTAATAAAACAAAACATATACTATTATAATCATTTCCGGTGTTGGTGTTATAATAATAATTATATTTTTTTTGTCCAGTGGGATCCCAACAAGTATTGTTCGCTGACGACGTACAAGGGACACGACAGACTGGTTTACGAAGCAAAGTGGTCTCCATTCTTGTCTTCGTGTTTTGCGTCGGTTTCAGGTATACAGACATACAGTACAAAACAGTACGTTATTCAGACGTGCAGCCTATGTGCATATATGGAAATCGTTCATCTTATAGATTTATGATCCAGTGGCGTAGTCAGGGAAGAGGGCGTTTTGGGTGATAAAACACCTCTATCCCCCATCAATCGTATTTATGTGAAAAATATATTTACTAAATAAATATTATGCTTCAGATTATGGGTGTTATATTTCAAATTTGATATTATAATATATTAATACGAAGATTATAATGATCGATGACTATACAATAATATAATTTAAAGCCTCCACATAAGCTAGTATACAAATAAAACAACCCCCTCGATAAAACCCTATCTACGCGCCTGGTCCATTTATCGGAAATTGGAATTATATTATGATATACCTACGATTACGAAATCAGTTAATTGCTTACAATTTTGACTATATCATACATTATGTATACCTAAAGGCGATGGGATGTTGGACATCTGGGACTGTTCGTCACCGCTGCGGCCGAGCGTCAAAATAAATGCACACCAAGCAGAGATATTGAGCTGTTCGTGGAACCAGTTTTACCCGTTCGTATTGGCAACCGGCGGGGCAGAAGGGTTGATCAGAATATGGGACATACGGAAACTGTTGACGCCTATATTCCAGCTCGAGGTCGGTATAGACTTCCGATTTTATAAGTGGTTTTTTACGACGGGAAACGTCGCGAATTCTTCACTATTATATAGAATAGATTTTTGAAAATGTATTCGTTTTAATCATTTTTTCTTTGATTCATCTACTTACAGGGTTGCCAGGATGCAGTGAAACGAGTTCAGTGTTCGCCTCACCACTGGTCCACGTTGGTTTCGGCGTCATATGATTGCACGACAAAGTATATATACACAAAAGTTACATATTTTATTTTTTTAAAGACAAATACTAATAATAATATCGTAAATTTATGAAACAAAAATAAATGAAATTTTACTATAATATATGCTTCTACGTTACATGTTGCAACTTATAATACAAATATTATTACAATAATACTAATATACTAATAATATGTTGTGCGTATAATATATCTCAATCATTATAATGTATAGGATTTGGGATTACGGTGTGTCGTCGGAACCGCGGCAGAGCCATCAAAACCATTCCGACTACGTGTACGGTCTGGACATGAGTGCTGACCAGGACGGATTGATGGCCGACTGCGGTTGGGACGCCGAAGTGCGTGTGTTTCGGATCTGAGATGATGCAGTAGCAGCAGCAGCGAAGACGACGTCGTCGCCGCCGCCGCCCGTCCACTGCGACATAACAATTGTTGTTGTTGTTGTTGTTATGCATCATTTGTTATTACTGGTCGTACGCCTGGTAGATGATTGGCGGAGAGTTGGTCGGAGTCGAGGCGTAGCCCAATGCGCTGGCTTTGTGGCCGGCTGACTGGGGCCTGGGTGCGGCAAATCGGTGTAACGCCGGCGCCTGCTTGACCTGTTGCTGCGGTGCCGGATTGCGGTAGTAACCGGAAATCGGGTCGGCCGGTTGTGCCGCGGACTCGGGTTCGCTAGCCTGTGCGGGAAGCAAAGGAAAAATCGTCAATGTTTATATTATTATTCGTCTCACGCATCTGATAATCTTTAATTGCTGTTGTTGTATATTACTGTTATTGTATCGTTCATAATATTATTATTATTATATTTTAAAAGTATATCGTTTTCATGGTAGGTATTAAAAAAAAAAATTTTCAATCGAGTATTGTTATATGCAGTGGTGTATTTGATGACATGGTGAATAATTGCACTTTGCAGGATTTTATAACCTTGTATTATTTGTTTATGATTATATATTTATAAAACTGTGAAATTAGAGCATTGTTTGTAGAATAAAAAATAATATTATTATTTAAAAACTAAAAATTTCGAGAAGTTGATTCATTTCGGGTGTGAGGGTTGGTCTCAGTATCAAAAAAAGTTGTATTAAATAATTTTTATCACCCCACCCACGAATTATCAAGTCACGCCACTGAATAATTTGTATGAGTTAAGAGTTATTTTTAAAGTTTCCTATTCATCGATGTCCTTATATCACGCACCTGGACTGAGATGTATTGCGGCTGCTGAGGTTTCCTCTCCGGCAATCTGTATTGTGGTGCTGGCGACGTTTGTGGAGCAGGGGTGGGAATCTTAACTTGGATGTTAGTTGGCTCTCGGCTTACTTCAGCCTTGAATCCCTATATTAATTAAATACGATATTAATAATAATAATTAAAAATTAAAATAAATATAATATAACATAATATTAATATTATTATTTATACATTAATTACGTCTGGTATTATTGATATAATGTACTTGTCGTATTGTGTGTGGTGTAAATATGTTTATTCGAAAATTTAAAATGGCCACTGAACAATTACATCATCTTATAATACATATATAATAAGTAGACAATATGTATAATAATTATTGTGTCATATAAATTAGTACATGTGTGTGAGATTTGTATATAATTATATGAGTTACAGGTGAGAGAATTGTAAAAACTTTGTAATAATAGAACCAATCAATGTAGTATTAATCCTGTATACTGTACAATGTGAAAACGTAGAAATAAGCTTGGTTACATATAAAGATGCGTTTAAAGAGACTACAGCTGAGGCTACTCCTGAAACTCTCTATTCCTTTTTTTTTTTTTTTTTTTTGAACATCTGTTTCAATATTTTGATTCTTAAAAATAATGCTATTACAATTATGGCCTCCGCGATTAACACATTATATTCTAAAATTTTCTATTCGTATATGATATCAAAATTGTAATTTCGTATATTTTAGTAAGTACCCAATTAATTATTTGTAATGTTAAATAGAATCTGCTGAGTATATTTAATAATTATTTAATAAAATAAAAATAAATTATAAACGAGAAAGGGATAAACCGATAAACGCTTTGCATTAACTGGAGATATTATAACAACAGTATTAAATATAAGCTTATTAAAATCATTAATAAAACATGTACCTGAATAGACTAGTATTATGCCATTGTGATTAAGTAATGAAAAGATGACATTTGCAAAAAAACCAAACATTAATTTCTTATCGATATTCATTATTTAAATTTTAAATCAGTCCCATTTGAATGCAATTATGTTGACTTTTAATAAATCGAAAAACGTGTAGGTAGGTAATTATTGGCGTTTGCTTATCAAACATACCTCTTCAGGATCGGCAGTATATGTGACTGTACGGATAAATCCATCTGAATCTACGACGCTGTAACTTCCAGAAATCTTTTCACCGTCTCTTTGCTCTTTGCGGTTGTGGTAGTTGGTTGACTCGTCGTCACTGATGTCGAACGAAAACTGGTATTGAGCATTAGGCTATAATACAATTAATATAAAATTTAAAAATGCCTAATTATTCGGTATTATTTTCAAAAGTGAGATTAATTATTGTTTATGTACCTTCATAATACGATAGATAAATAAACATAATATTATGATTAAATGATAGTTTAATTTTATTAGTTCAACCTATGTTGATAGATACATATACATAGATGAATTTCAAACTTGGTCTATAAACTATAATGTCCTCAAAATAAAACTAAAAATAATTTATGTACATGCTGAAGTCTAATAAGTGATTGGTAATCATTGCATTGTATATAATCTAATTTTCTTTTGCTTAAATATATTCTACTAGTCCATCGTGTAAAGTAAAAATCCTATTATCTAAAAGCCCATAATCTTTAGAACATGTTTTTAAATTTCATTTAAAAATTAAAAGTATAAGTTGTAATATTTCAAAAATGTTTTACGATCAATATTAATACTCATGATTCGTATGTAATGAGTACCGACTAATCCTTTATTAATTATCCAATGGCAATATTTATAGTATACTTCTATTTTCATTTTTTTTAAACTAAATATATTATATATAATATATAAATGCAGCAGTAATACCTAATTACTAATCATTATATTTTAAAGTCTTTGAATTAACGGATCAAGGAAAATTTTGAAATTACGATCAGCTGTTCATGCCGATAATAGAAGTAACATTATCTGTTGGGTCACATTTATTATATTATACACGTAAGCGTTTCTAAAGTTTCTTCATTGCCTATACACATCGGTTGTTACAATTTGTCTGTTGTGAAACAAAAGTGAACGTCTTCTCATTTGCTGCACGCACAGTACGGATTTAATGATCGTCTAGATCCAGAGCTACTGCTTACTGCTTAGCTTTGATGTTACGCAACCGATACGGTCGGGTTAAGTCGTGACAACTGCACTCCTGTGCACATGTCCGGTAATAATTTAAATTTTATTATTTCAATATTTCTTTATAACATATTATTTCATATGCTTCTATAGGTATATAATATCGTCAATAATACACACATCGGTGTTATAATAAACTCAATGAAATATTTCGTAACACTCTTATAGTAATCTATAACATAATAAGTCAGAAACATTATGATCTCCCGTGTGTGTATATATATATAACTACTTTCTAATAACGATACGTTATTTATTTGTTTTTTAATTTTCGTTGCATAGTAACTGGATCAAGTTTTTTCGACCCAGTCGCCCCCGCGAATTATACCACTTTCGAAAAACGCGTTACAAACAGCGTATTTTGCTTTCCTGTGCGATATAATATATTATTATTATTATGTTACCTATATATTGTATCCTGCATAATAACGAATGAAAGTTATATAAGTGGCCATAGTACTGCCGATTGAATAACCGTCTATATTATCAATATGATTATGGAGATTCGATTTTAAAAATAACATCGACATAACTTTCTTAGAATTATATCACTAGGTAGCAAAAAAGTTTAAATTATTCATCTAAAATAATTATGTATATATTACTACATGTTAGTGTATAATGTCATGTATTATTAGATCATAGTATATATTTATCTACTTAATAATTTACACTTATAGTATTATATTTATTTTATAAAAATAGGAATTTTATGATTCAGTAAAATCAATAATTGTTATTTTAATATAGGTATTAGAAAAACAAAAAATATAGGAATGTAAAAAAATTATAACTATAATACTATATCCTTTATGAATGTTTTGAAGGACATAAAAATATATTTACTCTATACGAATTATGATTTGGGTTTTTAAATATATTTTATACAATTGAATAAATAACATAAGTTTAAAAAAGTATTAACATGTATGTTATTACTTTTAAATACATTTAGAACAGCTGTACCAACTGTAACAACGAATTAAGTTTATCGAAAAAAAACTTGTTGTAATGTAGGTACTTGTTTTGTAAGATCAATAGATTTAAAATTTAAAATTTATTTGTCCTAATTGTATAATCTCAGTTTAAAAATATAGTAAAGATATTTTATATATTATTATTATATAGGAACTTGTGCAATATAAATTATGCATCAAAAATAATTTTTCATTCTCATGTTCAAATTTGTTAGGTACTACCTTTACCTATAAGTTAATGAGCTGTCTCTATCAAATATTATAATATATTATTATCATATTATTAAGCTATATAATATCGAAAGTAAAATCACTTACGTTGTTATCGTTCTCTTCGTCTTCTGGTTTTTCGGGCCTGTTCTGAGATTTTGGCTTGGACGGAGCCTTTGGGCGCGGTGCTTGTTGTGGTCGTGGAGATGGCTGGTACTGTTGTTCCGGTTGTTGGTATTCTTCCGGTTGCTGGTATGTCTGACGCGATTGGTAAGATGATGGCTGGTACGCGGCGGACTGTGGCTGGTACGCGGCCTGTTGGGGTTGGGGTTGGTATGCAGAGGGCTGTGGCTGGTACGCCGCAGGTTGTGGCTGGTAAGCGGCCGGCTGTTGGTAAGCTGGTCGAGGTGACGCCGCTGCTGGTTGTTGGTAAGCTGAACCGCCGGCAGGGACCACTTGCAGAAGCACGGGTCTGCGGATTGGTTGGCCCTTTTCAGTCTGTTGTTGGGATATGTACCTGGCGTACTCCTCCTGGGTAACTGGCATAGATACCGCCACTGCCACGATTCCAGCCACCAGAAGGCACTGTAAAGTGAATATTACGATTAATTAAAATATGAATTATACGCGAGATGGTCGATTGGAGCTGGAGGTTCGAGGAAAACTCTGAGAAAGATAGAAGAGGAAAAGTAGAATCTGCAGCGAAAGAGACGAGCATGGACGATTGCACCGCACACAAGATGCAGTTGTGTGCATCAGATTGGCGTTAGGGTATTAGACCCGCACAAAGGCAGAATATGCCTAACAACTCAGTCATCGACACGCAAGTACCCAATATTAAAAGGTAAAACAAATATATATTATATGACTTGCCTGTGTGATCATCATTTTGAACGGACGCGGTCGGTTGTGCAGAGACGGGGTGGACGCTAAACGGAATTTGCGAACAAAAACTTGAAGAAAACTTATCGAACAGCTCTATTGCCGAACGATCTCGCACATACTATAATAACAATAATATTATATGGTCGCACCGTGTGGTGGCAATGAGTGAATGGTCCACCGACGACGGGTCCTGCGATTTATATAGGTACGCTATCGCGACTCGCGACGGTCTGTGCGGCCCGTCGATCGAGCGTTCACGACTTTGTATTCCCACTTTCCACCGTCTCCAGTCGGCCGTCCCCGCGAAGTTGAACCGAACACGGATTAGAAAGTGGTCCACCGCTTCAACAATGGTGTTCGGGTGGACCTGAAATGAAAAGGAAAAAAACGCCCCGGAGGATAGGTCCGCTACACATAATTTTCACAATTATTACGTTACAAAATAATCGTCCATTATTATGTCAAGACTCAAGACCCACCCGCATCCACCCTCAAATAAATGATTACAAAAACCTCGTGTGTTGTAAAGAATGAAAACGATTATGTTATGTGTCGATGTTTATAAATTAAAACTTTGTTACATTATTTTTTTTTTGGTGATCAGATTTCATATTTATATTTTATTTGGTATAATACTATAATATACATTAAAACTCAGTAGGTACTATAGGCCTATCGTTACAACCAAACATTTTAAATTGCCCAAAATATTAATTTAAATTTCTTATAATATTGTAAACTTTGTATAATGTAATTATGTACCTGTAATAAATGGGACTATGTTACTTGTTAAATATTTTATTCGTATGAACTTGAAAGTTTTTATTTTTAATATATTATCATATTAACCTGAATTCTATTTATAGAAGCTAGGAATAAGTATGAACATTTATAATATAAATATGAAAATAAGTTTCAAAACATAAAGACAGCGGGTGATAGATAACTTTTAAAACCAATAACTTACATGAAAAATAGAATAAGTATAAGTTCACATAATTTTATACAATACAATACGATTGGTATATATATTATATTAGACCTATATAATTACAATATTATAATCTATTGGGTATACACTAAAATATTAAATTATTAGATGTTAAACTTTTAGGTTTTTATTTTCATTAAAGCGCATTAATTTTATGTATTACGGCCATTGGTAATAGTCATACAAAATATTTTCGTTTATTATAACTGAATATTAAATATTACATGATCAATATAATATTAAAAATAAATAAACTATATAGTATTATACAAGTGAAATAATGAACATTTAAAGTTTAATTTTAACCCGATCGACAATATTACTAACTGTTGAAACTTGAAATGAAAGTATTATTGTTTATCGTTATAATACGTTATATAATGCCTACCTTGTACCGTATGTCAGTATATATATATATATAAGAATTTCAAATTAAAATTATTATGTTCATATTATATTTATTGGTAGGTACACTTCTACATTCACAATAGTCAAATAACTCATTATTTTTTAATGAAACATTTTAGAGTTTTAATAAGTAATTTATTTTAGTTTATTATTTTATTATTCCATAAAGGAAAAATAATAATAATAATCAATTAGTATAATTAGTTTTTAATTTGTAATATTTTATAACTGAAGCGCATGTTAATATTACATGGTTTCATTATCTACCCACTACATAAACTTTTTTTAATCAAGTAAAACATTTTTTAATTTATAGTATTCTACAGCATAGGTGCTAGGTATAAACAATTTCTGAGAATATAGCCGTAAACATAAAATATATTTACCACACCATCGAGTTAATGACACAGTAATCTCCGCTTAATGTGTTCACTGTTTATAAAATCAACCGTTTACCTATTGGAATCAAAAATGAAAATCCCAAACCAAAAATTATATTGAAAAAAAAAATGCTTTATGACCAACTGGTTAATAGAAACAAAATGGTCTGAACTAATGTGATCACATTAAGCGGTATTCTCTGTATTAATTGTCTATGTACCAACCATGTAGCATTCGTTTTATCTCTAAGTACAAATGTTACTAAGCCTTTTTTTAGTCAATCATTGCTTAAAATTAAAATTTCAATTTATAGATTCTAAGTGTTTAGTTGGGGTTATAAATTGTATAGAATATTTGGGTATTGTACCAAAATACTTATTCTTTAAAAACGGTAAATTAAATATGCGTAGGTATACAAAGTTATTTTAAATAGTATTTTTTCAAAATATTCAACATTAAAATAAATAAAAAATGCAAGGGCAGCTGCCTAGGTATTTGTTTGTGTATTTTTTAATGAAATCTTCACAACTTTTGGCAAAACTATCTCTCCTTTAAATCGTTTTTCGAGTGCAATTATTTACTATTGCTTTTGAATGTAAAATGGACAACACAAATCCTGTTTGACGGTGTCAGTGTTTTAGGAATTTCTAAAGCATCAAATAATAAACAAAACAAAATAAAGTAAAACACATTAAGTATTTTATTCAACATAATAATTTATATTATATTATATTGTATTTATAATAGTAAAAGGTAAAATAACAGTTCACATAATATTATTACAAAATTACGATTTTATAATGTAGGCATAATGATAATATTATTTTTAACTGTGATTTATTTATTTTTTTTTGCTTAACTAAAACGAAAAAAACATATCCTTGAAAAACTAGTGCCCTCACTATCAAATCACAAAGAAAAATATTATAACCAAAATATTCCTTCCCAATATTCAATACAATCGTTATCTACAAAACATAACTGAGATCAACAAAACATCATTCATACCATACAATAATATAGCTAAATAGTATTAATTTAATTAATTATTATATAATATATGTATATATATTTATATTTTTACATTTTACAGTCTACATAAATAGAAAAACTCGAAACAAAATTAGGAACATTTTAATAATATCTGTTTTAGAAGTACAAAACTAAACATCTATACAAAATTAACAATCAGTACATTTCGCTAAGTCTATAAATCGACCGCTAAAATAAAAAAAAATTCAAATGCAGTTTTGTTTTTCTGCTCTAAGAAAAGAATTCCTCTTTTATTTTGACAAAATTTTATATTAATAAATATTTGGCTTCTTTGAGCTTATCGATTTTCGTCAGAAAATAAATTACGTCTTTAATAATTAGCCTTTTAAGTTTGTGGGGAGGGAGGAGCCACTAATGGTAATGGTGGTCAAATACACTAGCTTGTTATACGGCCATTGCAATTATATGTTACACAGTTAATATCCGTAGACTTAGAATGCAATAATTGTGTCCCATATTTATGTGCACTCGATAAAGTGCCTCTGTTCGATAACCGATGGTCGTTGAACCTCTTCCGGTTGGACGGGTGTCATTGTCGGTTGATGATGATGTGGTCGCAGATGAGCGTACATGTCGTCGTCGTCATCATGTTTATCACCGACGTGCGGTCCACCGTATATGTTTTGATTAGTGTCGTCGGCATGTTCCATCATACCGTTCGAGTAATTGTTTTGATGATACGCCTGGTAATCGGGACTGGAAATCTGCTGTTCCGTCGCGTCGTCCTTGCCGCCAGTGTACGGTGGCCTACAGGAAGTGGTCTTCCAGTGGGTCCTAAAGTCGGCACAAAAACAAAATGCACCGTTAGTAACTATTTCCGTATAAAACACCGTCCCAGAAATAATTGGCATTAGAAATGAGTACTGACCTCAATCCACTGGCGCTAATGTACGATTTTTGGCAACAGTGACAGGTGAACGGTCGTTCGTTGGTATGGATGCGCTTGTGCAATTTTAAATGCACCAGTTGAGTGAACGTCGACGAACATATCTCGCAAACGAACGGTTTGTCACCGGTATGTAGCCTCGAGTGAGTTTTAAGGTTAGAAGTGGAGCTAAACCGTTTCTGACACACATCGCATTCGTGCGGACGTTCTCCTATAAAACCCAACAGACAATACAATTAGCTATCGTTCTTATATTATTATTATTGTCATATAATTATATGCAATTTGCATTATATACACATAAAACGTGGTAAATTCGCTTACCGGTATGTACGTAGTTGTGTTTTTGCAAGTGGGCCAACTGCGTGAAACTCTTCCCGCACGTCTTGCATTTGAACGGCCTCTCGCCAGAGTGCGTTCTCAGATGCACTTTCAAGTTTGACAGCTGACCGAACGTCTTACGGCACACGTTGCACTCGTAGTGCATTTTTCCATTTTTCTTGCTGATCGGATAGGGCAGGGACCTGTACCCGCGCGAGTTGCTGGTGCTGCCGGGACTTCCACACGGTGACACGTCGTCCGGTGACATGGAGCCCGCCGGCGGACTGGCGCTGGATTCCACCGGATGGTTACCGGGGTAGTGGCACTGGTAGCCACCATTCTGAGGCGGGAATAAATGCGTCTGGTGGTGGTGGTACGGCATGTATTGCATCTGTTGACCGGCGGGCGCCGGGTAGACGAGTATTCCCGGCGGCGGTGGGCTCCGGTGCATTTGGTGCAAGGGCGACAGTACCTTGGTAGACGAATCTGGACTGACGGACGCGTTGACGTAACCTCGTTGTAAGTACGTTGGGTCGGTTACCGGCATTTGAGGAGGGGGTGTCATCGACGGGGCGATCGGCGCGGGTGCGGCCGGCGGGCCCGAATCTTTGTTTTGCAGCAATAGGTTCTCCAACAGAGACTTCTGGTCCCTGGGATACTGATAGATGACCGACGGTGGGGTCGGCACGATGGGTGCATCGAGCTTGAGTTTTTTCGGTAGCGATTCAACAGTGTCACTGCTGCACGGCGCACTGGATGATGACGGCTCCGCGTATCGTTTGGGTGACTGGGAACGGACGACGATCACTGGTTCAGCGGTCACGACTGGTGGTGGCGTTTGCTCTTTCGGTGGTTGATCCGATTCCTTTCTGTACTGGGATGCTTTGCGTAATTTAATTTTCACCTTGAGAAACTCGTTAGTCTCCACTTCAACTGCTTCCTCGTCGGGTTTTGGCAATTTCGATTTTTTACTATACAAACAAGTCGTTTTTTTTTAGTTAATTAATACATATTATAGGTATCCAGATGTAACTAATAAGCTGTAATCTTGTGATGCAAATCAGATTAAAATTATTTGAAATATCTTACCTGTAGTCCAAAATGCAGTTGGAACTATCGTCAGAGTCAGATAGATGTTCGGGTGGTGTGGGTGCATCGTCGTGGTAAGTGTGGCTGTGATATCCTTCATCAGACCGTACTGAATGAGATTGAGCGTACCCTTGAGCTTTTCCTTCGTCGTCTACAGGTCTTAGTCGTAATCCATCTAACCGCAAAACGTCAGCATTTCCATTGTCTATGTACTCTTTGACTGGACTCATCACTACACGGCGCATTGACGTAGCATTGTTAGTCATTGCCTTATCAAACTCGTTACGTATATCATCATCCTGCCAGTGGACTCGATTTCCGGTTTTGAGTGTGACATCACCACTATCTACTGGAAGTGGTGGAGGTGACGAAGGAGTCGACGATGATGACACTGTATCTGCGCCGTCGGCTAGCATCGGTAGTGTAGGAGATGTAGACGTTTGTATTTCTGTAAAATAGAGTTAACAATTAACTTTGTACTTAAATTAAAATTGAAAAACAATATGTAAAAACTCGTTTTTTAAATTAATTTTGTCGTTGTACAGTTTTACATTTTTAATTACATAACGAAATTTCAAGTATTGTTAATTAATGGTCAGAAAGTTTTGTTAGGTACTTAATAAAATAAAAAATATTTTTAACTAATTATTCTACTTTAATGATTTTAATTTTTATATTTTAATTTACGTAGAGTTCGTATGTGTTTATTGGTTATTACTTATTATCTTGTATACTACAATACATTATTATTTTAATAACACGGCGTATTAGATAGGCAAAACGTATACACTTGTGTATATAGCATAAAAATAAAAAGTATCTAATGTTCATTATATATTTTTTCATTTTTGTTTCACTTACTTCCTTGCATTCGTTGTATCATCTGTTCAACGCTGGATGGGTAGTTTAGCCTTTCAGCAAATTCACGGCAATACCAAACAAGAAGTTCTTCATTTGGAAAAATTGGTCGAATTGTGTAAAAAAATATATCAGTCTATAAAAATAAAACATTAAATAAACAAATATAATTTTTTACTATTACCATCATATTATAAAAATATGTATAATATATATTTATCAGGAATTTTTTTAAATTTCTAATTTGCACTTACTCCGCATTGACAAGCGATCAGATTCTGCGATTGTGGTGAATATGGGGCACTCACGTACCGCATCCAATTGGATTTCGTTTCATCGTAAGTGTTTATGTAATAGAAAGGTTTGTTCTCTTTATAAATCTGTAACGGTACACGATATTAAGTAAACGAAAAAACGGAAAAAAATAATTAAAAAATTAGCTATTGATAGTTTAGAAGAAAAGTATTATCTAAGTAGCCAAAGCAAATTTACCTGTTGGCGCATTTTCCGCCAGAAATTATCTTGGCCTAGCATGAGCTGGACCTAATAAAAAAGTACGGACAGAGTTGTAGATAAGAAAGCATCATTAAACCCGATAGTTAGTTAGTTTAGAAGCATTATGAAAGAGCTGTATTGATTTTTAACAAAACTTACCCTCCAGAAGTATTTTCGTTTTCCGTTTGGCGCGTGCTCTTTAACGCACACTTCGCCCACTAATGGACCGAACCTGGTGCCCAATGGAATGTATATGGCACTTTTTACGCCAGTGATCTACGTAAATAAACAAAAAAAAAATAGATTAGTAAATAATACCTACCTCTACCTAAATGTCTAAATTTGATATTATTATAAATGCATACTTTTTTTCCAATTTTTTTCAATTTGAGATTTCTGGGTAATGAACTCTCTGCCCGGTTTGGGTTATTTGGATCTGCTGGTTGGTCCAATACAATGTAGTCGACAAATTTGTCAAATTCTTCTTCTTTGATTGAGTTGAAATCAAAAGGCAAATCGGATTCCATCGGAGGCGTTTCCTGAACGGGCAAAAATATCATGGTTTAAAATTAACACATTCAGAAACAGAATCAAATGTTTATGATTGTTCAGGGTCATGTTGGTCTATTGATTTCACCTTCTGAGGCGGATATATTTTTAGCTGGATGTGCGCATTTTGTTCGTATCGCATGGCCAAAAAGACAACTACCGCGGTTTAACGCACACGTCGCGATGCTCATCGAGGTCAGGCGCTGTGCATTTAGGGCTGAGTATGAGTGGTATCTTAGGGTAGGGGCAAGGAGGAGAAAGAATATGGGTCACTAGTGCCAACTGAGAGCCCTACAAACTGCACTATCGATCGTACCGATGCATTCATATATAATGTATATAATATACTCTTAGTGCCAGTATTTTACTATGACGCGTTAGCCAAAATAAAGATGCAGTTCATGTAGTCAGTAAAAATATATTTTGTTTATCATAGAAAAGTAGAAAACCATTTATACTCTCATATGATTATTAAAAATGTAATTTTAGACAAAGAAAATGAAATGAAAAATTCCTACACAACTTTGAATGCAGTTCTGTATTTATACACCCAAATAAAATTAAATATAGCTTACAAGTGGTGACCTTAAGATTTGTATTATTAGAATTTAGAACAACTGGAAGGCCAATATTATGAATAACCTGACACAAGAAAATAGCAATAATGAAACCGAATCATTTGGTGTTTGCCAAATACCAATGTATGGTCACGGGGATACAATAATACACCCATCGTAGCCTTAAATGATTTTATAAGCTCGTCAGTGTAATTGAAAATTGCATAATGATTTAACATTGTCGTACAAACATAATTATACAATACAAGTACGAAAAAAAAACGGAGTTTCTCAATAACATATTATTTTAAAATTATACTATTAAATGCATATTTTTGGATCAATAAAAATGTGTTCAAATTAAATTGAAAGTAAAAAATGAAATCAATTTATTTTATCCTCCAGTCTTAACGAGCTTATAGGGATAATTATATCATCGTTATTCTCAAGAGTACTGGAATACTGGAGATAAAAAAAAATGTCTAAAACATTTTAGTAAAAGATTGTTGAACTTTTGCCCCGGAGCAGTATCCGATTACGGCTGCTGTCTAGTGTAAATCCGTCTCGACAAAATGGCGGACCGGAAAGTTCGATAACGCAGTTCTAGACGGCTGCGAAAGCAATCGATTGGCGATGGCTTCACAGTAAAGGAGGGGTAACAAAAAAAAGAAAATACCGTGCCAATGTTGATGTAGACAAATATAAAAAATTAACGACTCGAGAAAACTGAATAACCAAATAATTGTCGGAGGTTCGTAGTGACCGCCAACAGACCAGACATAATCGATATCACTAGACCGGAAAATATATATGGTGCAATGTCTGGAGAGTGGCAGACTGAAAAAAAATGTTCGTCTGGCGTTTGAACTCTGTTTAAACTTTTAACAAATATTATAAACCATACATACAAAATTGTATTTGTATGAGTAATTTGAGAATGTAATTTAAGTAAATAGAATTATCCAAGTGCAATATATATGAATACAATGACCATTTTTTATGCTAAATTGGTATAAAACCAAAATATGAACGCAATTCTAGAGATATTTTTATATTTTTTCTTATACATTCCACAAATATCAAAACAATGTGTTTTTATTTAACGTCTTAATTATAAAATACTAATATTATATTACACTTTAATTGGTGACATGCAAGTCTATATGCTAAAAATATTGAATATGTTAAAAAAAATTGCACACTTAGGTAATTTTAGATACTTGTACAATTATTGTACTATTAAAAGGAATTCAATTTACCTGTCTCATTGTGATATTTGATGATTTACTAGTCCTCCATAAATCCTCTGCAATTGTATAACCTGTTAACAGAAAATTGGTTTAATTAAAATTTATAATATACAGAATTTTGTTTGCTATTAAATTCGTTCAATATATGGTTATTTGTATAACACATGTCTGGGCTTATTTTAGACGACCGGCGACTGAAGTTCACTTTGTCTCTTTTCCCCATTCAAATTATTTATATACGCACATGAAATTCCAAAAATCTTTGCGCATACTGAAGCAGTTCTCGCGATCATTCAAATCAAACATCGACACTTGGTAATGCATACTTATAATACCTATAGGTAAATGTAGGTACGCGTTTGTGGAAAACCTGAACAAATGCAAGTATGGTTCGATACCGAGCACATAATAATATATACCTACACAGTTATAGATAGCAATAATTAAAAAACAAATTATATTATACGTAATAATTCTGTATTATATACATGCTTGTATAGGTCATATTATTATATAGTGTCGAGTAAAAAATAACGATTGAACAGTATATAAAACGACCATCCGATGAACTGCACATTTTGTGAGGTAGGTGTAACATATAATATATTACAATATATTAATTAATCAATGAGTAACAATGATAAGATCGATGTAACTATAACTTTATGTTTATTTACCGGTTGTTATTATGAGACAGATGTTTTACTATACTCTAAAAATCATTTAAATTTTTTCGATGGCATATCCTCGCCCAAACGACAGTTAAATAGTAGAGTATATTCCATAGACCTCGTCGAACATTTATTAAAATTTATAGTTAATGTTGTCTTGTAATAATATATTAATGGGTTATTTTTGAATAATATACTAAATATTTCACGAATTTTGTATTAAAGAAAAATAGTTATTGGTACAGCCGTACAGGTAAGTACCTATATACCGACAAAAATTAAAACAACAAATTCTCTTATATAAAATTGAATTATACAATTAAAATGTTATTTGGTTTTTTTTGTTTATGTAGATAAATGTAATAATAATAATAAAAATAAAATTTTTCTTTAAATTGAATTTTTTATGAAATGACACGTTAAATGTTACGATACTTATTATTTGTCATATTTAAGAACAATTAGATATTAATTGCACAATATATATAGCTAACTACTTGTGTAAAAATGTAAAATTTCAATAGTATTCTGCTAAAATTGAATGTAGTAAGCGCAAAAACCCTTGTTGTATTTTTATTTCACAATAATTATTTAACAAAATAAACATTAATTTCTCTAATTACGTAAATTATTGTCAATGCTTGTGCATTGTGTATATCTTTTTATAAAACGCATTAGAAAAATGATAAGGAAATTAATGAAACCTTTGGCAAAAATAATTATTAAGAAATATTAATTAGATAACTATAATGTACATAAGAATGTGCAAATGTGCAATCACCAATTTTATCATAATTGTTTTTTCATTGATTTATGTATAATTCTACAATGTATAATAATTTTGAAATACATTTAATGAATTAAATAAAATACAATATTTTTTTTCGATTTGGGGACATTGTGTTATACCTAAACTTTACAGACATACAGAGTTACATATACTTTTGTCTAATAGTTCTTAAAATAAATTCACAAGAGTTTAAATTCGATAAAAAAAAAAAATAACTCAAATGATATTACGTTGTTTTTTTTTCGAACGAACACGAACTATATATAGTCACTCTACATTTATCCATTTAAATACAATAGCTTTGTCTTAGAATTTTTGTCATAGGAACGTAAAATCTTTTTCGCATGACTCTTTATAAATGGCTCACATCTATTTTGATTTGACAAAAAATGTATCATTAAAATCTAACGATATGTCAATAATCTTATGTAACTGTAGCTATAGTAAAAAAATAAATAATTTCTATGATTTATGACTTATCTCGCAATCAAATTACACAGTTATGAGAAAAATAAATTCAACTTATGTTTTTATCAAAATTCTGAAACTGAAGAGCGCATACGACTAGCATCTGGAACTAACCACTAGGGAAGTTATTACATTATATATTTTAAACTTCTATTATAATGTACAATAATATTTAAATTTTAATGATTTGTTTTTTCGTTACAACAACTCAATCCATATGTAGCTAAAATAGCAATGTGTCCTCCCAATATTGAATTATTCGTACGTACAATAAATAATAGTAGGTAGGTAGTAGGTACCTAGTTTAATTAGTATTTGTTTTCTCTTAAGAACATTGGAATTTTAATTAAACGCATATCATTTGGCTATATTATACTGTATAATTTAATATAATATATTGTGATTTTGTCAATGAATCTTTTTATCTAATGATGTATTTTAATATGTTTATATTACATTTGCGTAATTGTATTTCATTATTTTACATATTAATGTAAGTATATTATTTAATTTACATTAAAACGTTTAAGTGTTTTACTTCAGTTCTAATAAAATCGAACATTTGACTTTACGAATTAAAATCCAACGTTTATTATTCGTTTATTAAATCAAAATCAAGCCAATAATTAATGTGCATTCAAAACGTTTATTTGTTCGTATATAAGCAATTACTGTTATTGCTGTCAAATACCATAGAACCAATGTAGTTAATATTTAATTGCATCATAATAATTTGTTTCGGCCGTATTACGCTTATATATATGTGTATAAATTATAATTATGTTTATCAAATGCACCTAACTGATAAAAAGTGCATTGTGCATTTTGGTCAAGGACGTATTGGCGATTATCGAACAAATGCATACATGCCTCTTCTATATTATACATCACTCCATTCCGTGCACCGCGTCAGTCAATATATCATATAATATTATAGATATAAAGTAATCTAGTTTTATTGGTTCTTTCAGTTTTCAATAACTCAATTTTATTGTTGTTGTCGTGCGTATTCACGAATAATATACTAAAGATTTGCACAACCATAATAGTTAAATGTCCTTCATCATGTTATCAGAGTCAAGGTCATAAAAAGAATTTTAAAAAAATATTTAAAAAATACACTTGTTAAATCTCGGTGTTATCTGGTATAATATTACGTTCACGCATACAATTGGAGACTTGGCCATTGCGGAATACTATGGCAATAAATGTTAGTTTCGACATATTAAATTGATCAGTAAATTATTTTCAGATCTGGTTTTGGTGCAGGATTGA